ATATAGATTAATATTAAATTACATAATGGAACTAGAATTAGACGGGCTTTCAGCTAGTTTTGGGTTATTTTTCCACTCTTCAGAATCTTTTAACGCTTTAACAGCATTTTGGCAAATTTCTTCTGTAGTTGCATGAGCAATTTTATGCAATTTTACCTTAATTGCATCTTTAACAATACAACATCCATTAGAGGTTTTGGAAAGCCATCTCTCCCAAGCTTGCTCTCGATGAAAGTCGCATATCAAAACATTACAGCCTAAATAAAATGAGTTGGATTTTGTTTATACAGTGGTTGAGCTAACACAAAAAAGTAAACTAAACAGGATTATTAAGCATCAGTCCTCACCTGGAAATACCAACTCTAATGACCTTATCTCTTCATTTGAGTAATCAGTTAAACAAAACTTTGGCTGAAATGTAGGGTTCCATTCTTTAATGCATAATAGTGCTTCTGTGATAGCAGATGTGGTTTCATTTTCACAAACAAAAATGGCAACAACCTGATAATCAATGTTTGTTTTAACAACCAGAAAAAAAAGTGGGAGAGCATACCTAGTTGTGCGGTATGTTGCATCAAGAAAAATTAGCTCATTTCCGTATCGCAAGAGTAATCTTTTCTGCCAAACATCTTGATAGATAAATAACAATGAATCCTTAAGCTCTGGATCATCAACCATGTTTACACCTTTTGGTCTAAACTTTATCATTGCTTCTTGGAAAATTATTTGCCATTCACTTATTTTATCATGCAAACATTCTTGATCTATCAACGATCTGCGAAGTTTTCTTCTCGCATTTAGCATATGATTTCGAATGGTCTTATCTATTGGAAAGTAACGTTTGTTTGCGCTTTGTAGATTATTATTGGCAGTAAATTCTGCTTGAACAAAAAACTCAAGATGTTGTCTCATTTCCGATACAGTGTTAACACCTTTTTTTACTAGATCAGCAATTTTTACTATGATATTTTCAGAAATGGGCTGACTGATACCTGCATTCTGAAAAATGTAACAAAACCAACCTTATAGAAAACTTTAAGAAACAAAGCCACATAACTTTAAATTAAATGAAAATTTTTACTTACATCACCTACTGCATGATTCTTATGAACAGAAATATCAGGCAATACTAGGATATACTTTCTGCACTTAAGTAAAATTTCAGGGTCAACTAAAGCTAAACGGAGTTTTTTTGATGTTTCCTTTCTTAACCGTACTGTATTTTTAGAAACCTGTAAAAATGAGAGATAAATTGTTATAACTAGAAGATAAATTTTTAGTTATTTTTAAAGCTATCTAATTGTAGGGTAATATATTATTAACATATTAAAAAAATAATTATATATATATATATATATATATATATATATATATATATATATATATATATATATATATATATATATATATATATATATATATATATATATATATATATATATGTAACAGACACACCAATAAATATTAATAACAATAAAATACCTTAAACTCTGGAAATTCAATAATTTCTTTTATATAGACCATGGCAGGACAATCAAATTTTTTGGTATCCTGCAAAATGACTCTATTTTTTTGGCAATAATGATCTGTACTCTACACATTAAAATAAATATGCACAAGTTAATTAAAATCGCATATCTGTTGTTTATGAATTAAAAATAAATATGCTAAAGAATATGATAATAATAAATATTAAAGAAACAAAAAAAATGTACATATATAAAAATTATAATCTTTACACTATAGTTATTTATAATCATTATAACAGAAAAGAGATTTGAAATTGTGAGTAAAATAAAATAAGTTTACAAAATTTTAGTTAAACTTACAGCTTCAATATTTTTCTTTATCCTGTACTGAGCCTTTTTTTTAATATTTCTGTCTTTTCCATGCTGACAGTCGAGTGTTGCTCGTGTTGACACAATGAATGGTACTCCTGTGTAGGAAAAATCTTTGTCCTCATAAAACAACTTGTGTTCTTTCTTGAACAATTCTAAATAAATTACACTTATTAAAGTAATTTCTGTGTTTTAGTAAAAAAAAAAAAACATAAAAAATTGAGTTAAACATACAGTTGCTACAGGTAGACTGAACTTTATCTACAGTTTATTTAATTAATTTGCTAACCTTCATAGTTCTTTTCCATGCTACCTGTACAAGTTACAACATAATGCACTGTGTGCAACATTTCGTGCTCTGCAATTTTCGCACAAACATCTGCATAAGTAGCAAAAACATGCTTGGTAACAGGTACTTTATATTCAACTGATGCCATTTGTTCTAAAATATAAAAATTTGTAATCCTATAGGAATACTCTTGCATGATACAAGTTGTGTCATAAGAGTAGGTCACCATAATCACACAAGATAATAAAATATCTTACCCACTGAATGTTTTAAATCAAAATAACAACTATCTTCAAGAATTAATACACAAATTTGAAATAAGAACTAAAGAAACATTTTTTAAACAGTTTATCAACCTTATCATAAAGAAAAGCAATACAATAAATAACATCATTAAAATACAAACATATTCTTTTGAACGACATTATGCCATTATTATACAAATTTTAAGAACACAAACATAAAGAAAGGCAATATAATGAATAACACTGAATACTAGTATGTGTCTAATATTATTATTGTCATAATGTCGTTCAAAAGTACATTAAAAAAAAAAATGCAATTATTGTTAGCTTTTAATACAAGCATGTACTTTTGAACAACATTACGCCATTGTTATACAAATTTTAAGAACACAAACATAAAGAAAGACAATATAACGAATAGCACAGAATATTATTATATGTCTAATACTATTATTGTCATAATGTTGTTCAAAAGTACATTTAAAAAAAATGCAATTATTAATAGCATTTAATACAAACATGTACTTTTGAACGACATTATGGCATTGTGATACAAATTTTAAGAACACAAACATAAAGAAAGGCAATATAATGAATAGCACTGAATACTAGTATGTGTCTAATATTATTATTGTCATAATGTCGTTCAAAAGTACATTTAAAAAAAATGCAATTATTGTTAGCTTTTAATACAAGCATGTACTTTTGAACAACATTACGCCATTGTTATACAAATTTTAAAAACACAAACATAAAGAAAGACAATATAATAAATAGCACCTAATATTATTATGTGTCTAATACTATTATTGTCATAATGTCATTCAAAAGTACATTTATGTTTTAAATGCAATTATTAATAGCATTTAATACAAGCATGTACTTTTGAACAACATTATGTCATTCTTATACGAATTATAAGAACACAAACATAAAGAAATGCAACATAATGATTAGCACTGAATACTATTTTATGTCTAATATTATTATTGTCATAATGTCGTTAAAAAGTACATTTTTGTTTTAAATGCAATTATTAATAGCATTTAATACAAACATCTAAGGATGTACTTTTGAACGACATTATGCCATTGTGATACAAATTTTAAGAACACAAACATAAAGAAAGGCAATATAATGAATAGCACTGAATACTAGTATGTGTCTAATATTATTATTGTCATAATGTCGTTCAAAAGTACATTTAAAAAAAATGCAATTATTGTTAGCTTTTAATACAAGCATGTACTTTTGAACAACATTACGCCATTGTTATACAAATTTTAAAAACACAAACATAAAGAAAGACAATATAATAAATAGCACCTAATATTATTATGTGTCTAATACTATTATTGTCATAATGTCATTCAAAAGTACATTTATGTTTTAAATGCAATTATTAATAGCATTTAATACAAGCATGTACTTTTGAACAACATTATGTCATTCTTATACCAATTATAAGAACACAAACATAAAGAAATGCAACATAATGATTAGCACTGAATACTATTATATGTTTAATATTATTATTGTCATAATGTCGTTAACAAGTACATTTTTGTTTTAAATGCAATTATTAATAGCATTTAATACAAACATCTAAGGATGTACTTTTGAACGACATTATGCCATTGTTATACAAATTTTAAGAACACAAACATAAAGAAAGGCAATATAATGAATAGCACTGAATACTTTTATTTGTCTAATATTATTATTGTCATAATGTCGTTAAAAAGTACATTTTTGTTTTAAATGCAATTATTAATAGCATTTAATAAAAGCATGTTCTTTTGAACGACATTCTGTATATAAATATATTTTTCTATTTAAGAACATAAAATAAAGAAAGGCAATACAACGAACATTACAGCATTTAAAATAAAAACGTATTTTTGAACGACATTACCTTAAGCTTTGAGCTGGCGCACGAGGCTATTTTTATGTTTTAATATGGTTTTAAATTACACGGAAAATACGCATGCGTAAACATTTTCCAGGTCTGCGATTTGAGTAAGATCGGATTTGTACTTTTGAACGACAGGATATAGCACTAACCTGTCTGAACGTGGAAAAATAATTTTTTCGCCGTAAAAAAGTAGGCCTCCACAAAAAAATCCGGTTGCGCGATGAATAGGCCTGTAGTAGAGAACGCTATGGTTAATGGTCATTAATCTTTTTTTTTTTTTACTCCAAATAAACACTAAACTAAAACCAAATCATCATAAAATGTTTTTAAAGCGTATTTGTAATACAGCAATTTTAGGATTGTCTAATAACCAATTATAAATGCAATATGGAACATATACAACATGCAAACCATTCTATTGATATAAACTTAAAACTCTTTCTTACATCAATGTAAATTTTCTCAAAATTAAAATAAATCAAAGACTCAAAAACAAACGAAAGTATTTAAAATCAAAAACAGGTATTTCTGTTAAAAAGAGGTTTTTATTTTTTTTATTTAAAATATAACTTTGTTATATTGAGAATAGATAGAAACCTTTATTTTGAGAAAAGAAACTCTTTGTTTAAATCAAATCTTACTGTGTTAATAATCGACTAACTTATAAAGAAAACATGTATATTTGTAATTGGAGGAGGGATTTTAAACAACGCTTTTAAAATCTCTGTTGAAACAGAATTATTTGAGTTTTTTACGTTTACATTTTATATAAGTACTGAGCAACAAATTACCAATAGTATTAAAAATAGGTTTTTGCTTTATCAACAAATGCGCCAGTTTTGAAACTTTGAAGTCTTTGCGCCATCTTAAAAACATGGTAAATTTTCATTAAAAAAAAATTAAAACACTGCATTTTTTTTTTTTTTTTTTTTTTTTTTTTTTGCATTATAATAACGTCTGTTGAATAATATATGTTCGTGTTACAGGATAATGTCGATGGGTTATTAAAGTATAATTATACTTAAATTCTAATACAAATATTTTAATGCATTCTTAAACTATTTTAAATTTATATGAAGTATAAATATATGAAAAATAAAGATTTTATTTAATTTCGATCTTATATTGTTCGTTTTTTAAACTTTTTTAATGGATTTTTTTTTTTGCGTTTTAGATCACGAAGTATTATAATAGGATTAATGACATTTTTATGACATCATGACCGACTATTTTTCAATATACAATAACAACGTTAAACCTAAGGTTTTATTAACACACGACGATCTATCTAAAACAGATTTAGTATATGGAAGTTACATATTAAACTCTGTTTTGCCAACCGGATTTTTGCAAACCCACAGAGAATGGACTCGCTTATGGACTCAGCACTTTGCAGAATCTAAGCAGTTACTAAAACTAGACGGCCTGATGTTGTCAGGAAGTGCTGCAGAATACTTTAACGTACCACTGTACATGAAGTATAATGATTTAAAAAATACTAAAGAGTATGTGAAGAGGTATTCCTACATAAGTGATCAGGATGTTATGTTCACCTATACAAACTTGACTCTCATAGAGGAAACCCATTCCAAACCCAATACTCCATTTATAGGAACAATGAAACAATCAGACCATCCAGGCTATGTTTTGATTGTTCCAAATGATAACACATTTTCACCCTCATTAACTGTTTGTTTAAAGAGCGGTGTGAGAGTATTAGATGGCTCAAAAATTATAGAATCTATCAAGTCAAAAATGCGCACACAAGTGACACTTGAAGGGCCGGCATTGGCATTAAGCAATGACTTCAGTCATCTGAGTGATTATGTGCTTTGCTTTACATGCCAGAGATGGCCTTCATGCGCAAGAGATTGGATTACGCGCACACGGCTTGGAAATTGGCCCACTTTTCAACTTATTCAACAAGTGACACAAGACGGCTGTCACGTTGTACGCATGGGCCACATCAATAGTAGAAATAGGGATTTTGAGTTCAGATTGTCATTTTCCAAAGCTGAAGTAACACTGGCTCACACTCTGTTAGATTGTCACCGACGTGTCTACCTTTACGTCAAGTTGCTACACAATTTGCATCTTAAGGAACCAAAGGCGTTGGCAACATACCACCTCAAAACGACGTTGTACTGGATGGTAGAACAGGAACCTAATACAGATGTTTGGAAGCCTTGCAATACGGCAGTTGCTTTTCTTCGATATTTAGACAGACTATTAGTTTTTTTGAAAAACTATAATATACCAAATTATTTTGTACCAGAAAACAACATGATTGATCATGTTAAGCCTGAAAGTGTGAGAGAAATAGTTAAAAAATTAGAAAGAATACGAATAGAACCAATAAAGTTTATTCTAGCCTTTTTTGACGAATATACTCTTACTGTGCCCGAAGAGCCTTATGCTTATTGTCCACCTCGTGAAGAATTATGTGTTTGGAAGAGCATGATTAACGGTCAAAGAAAAAATTACGACGACCAATCAGAGACAAAAACCGCAATCCTAAATTTTCACCGCTGCAGTTTACACCTAGTACTCAGTTGGCTGATTGAGTTTACAGTGTTCTGTCGTGCGCAGAATATTGAAAAGCCTACCAAGTACTGTCGCCAGATGTTTAGTTGTATAGGCGATACATTACGAACAGCATACGAGCACAAAATTTATCGAACTATTACTGATAGTGACTTACCTGAGTTTAAAAGTTACATTTCTGGTGAAATTACACAGATTATAAATGACTTTGTTCACAAACCAGAATTGAATAAGGTAAACATAACCGATGTTTTTTATGAATTTCTCTCTTATCTACCTGAATATAAGTTAGTTAGCAACACTTTATGATTTTCTTAATTGTTACCAGATATAATAATATCATGGTGTTGTGCAATTCTAATTTTTGCTGTATCTTTGACAATTAAATGAACAATAGTTAATCAGAGTAATTAACAGGATTTTGATCACGTGTTCATTTGTACGTGAGAATAAGAACTGTTCTCAAACATTAAGTGTTGTGTTGCACCTGCCCTTTGTATATGGTAAAATAAAAATTTTTCCAAAACTTTTTATTTGAAATTTGCAGGCAATTTTATCGAAAACTTACTAACTTATTTTACTTTGTGTTGTATTGGTGTTGAATCACGACATAATTACAAGTGAACTTTAAGGTTGCGATATATTTGTTTAAAATTACATTAACTGTAAAAAAAAATTAAAAATTTTCAGCTAACGTCTTTTTTATTTACTTTTAGCTCTTTATTTTAAAAAAATCAAAGAAAGAAATTTCCCGACCAACATTAATTACAAAAATTATTTCATCATTTTCAGGCGAACAATTTTTTTATTTAGCATTTTATTTAAAGTTTTTAAAAAATGGTTGATAATTTTTTTTTTAAATATCATTTTAATTTGCTTATGATTTTCTGCTAATCTTCTTATTTATTTCGACTTTTTGCCAATAAGAAAAAATCTTCTTTTAATATGCTTCAAAAGTGCATCAACTTGGTGATGTACTTTTTATCACCAATATCAATTTAACACATTCTCAATATATGTACAAAATGTGTTTAAATTACACTCCAATATATGCACAAAATGTGTTTAAATTACACCCCAATATGTTCTGGCTTCTTTTAATAACCATTTACCAGTGAGAAAACAAATTTATTGATTCTAAAAAATTTATCGATTCTAAAAATCTACTTCTTGTTTTTTCCTTGTGATTTAATAATATATTCTTGCTTAGCTGTTGAGAAGTTCAATAACCATTTACCAGTGAGAATACAGCTAATTTATTGATTCTAAAAATCTACTTCTTGTACCCTTATTCAGTTAAGGTACCCTTATGGTGTCCCATTCCCGCAAAATTTTCGAATTACCACACCAACTTTTAAATTGAGATTTAGACTAAGAAAAAAATAATATTTACCAAGTACTTTTTTGAAAATAAAAAAATTTAAGGATCCCCTCACTTAGAAAAAGTTTTAGTATTTTTGTTCAAAATGTTAACAAATATATTCCATAACAGCTTTAACTTTTCACACAATATAACTTACTATCTTATTTATACTTTATAGAAAATTTAAGTTAAAAAAAATTAATTTAAGGGACCCCCCGATTTAAATAGTAAATTAGTTTTAAGCATTTTAATTTCATTTAATGTAAAATTAATACAATTAGCACTGTTTAAAAAAATAATCAAATATTCATTAAATTTTCTTTTCGTCCTTGAAGAGAAGCTTATTTGTGATGGTCCTCCACTGTTTGAAATAGTAGTTAAAGCTGCGCGGGGTCTTTGACTTTATTTTATTTTAAAGTCTTGTATAAGTTTTACACCTCTTTTGGCGCAGTCATGAACAACTTGACAATACTTAACAACATTTTTCACATAGATGTAATCTTTCATCTTCATACAGTGCTCGACAGGCAATTGCATCCAATCTACCTGGTTTGCAGTCATCTTGATTAAGTTAAATATCAGCTAGGAACGTGGACCAATTAAAAAGACAAAGGAAGGATGTTATCGCTATCGACTTCCGAAAAAAGACTTATTTACGATGTCTTTAAGACGTCTTTTTTTAATCGATTATGCAAATCCAAAAGACATCTTTTTTCGACATCGAAAAGAAGTCTTTTTTTATCCTAATCTTGTCATTAAAAGACATAAAAAAATGCGTCTTTAAGACGCCTTTTTTTAGTCGAATATGCAAATCTGAAAGACATATTTTTTTTTGATATCGAAAAGGTGTCTTTTTTGTCTTTATCTTGTCATGGTAAGACATAAAAAAATGCGTCTTTAAGAGCTCTTTGTTTATCAATTATGCTCTTCTAAAAACGTTTTTTTTTCACGGGGTCGGAATGATTTTTTTGTCATACTTATAAGTATACTATAGTATCCTATACACTATAGTAATCCTACTTTTCATATATTATTTTCATACTGACGTTGTTAAATAAAATCAACTTTTTCACGTCGAGAAATCCTTTCATACGACCTAAAAAACGAGTGAACATAAAAAAACAGTCTATTGTTTGAATGTAAAACAAAAAAGCAAATGAAAATTGATAAGTTGAGTGAAACACATTAGACCTACCGATAATTAATTCAAAAAGTGTTGATTCTTTTAACGCCCTCATGTTTCCAGCGCGGTCCTTTCTTTTTGAACCCACTATGTTAGATTGGGACAGGAGTCAAACGGTAAACAGTCTAAAAATGTATAAAAATGAGTGTGCAAAAGAAATTTACGATCATCAAATGACTGTACAACGATGTATTTTTTTATGAAGTACTTAAACCAAGCTAAACATTTGGACCTCTCAGATTTGCTATGAATGCTAACTTATTGAAAACAGATATTGGTATTTTTCTGTCTTCTATGACGTGACTTTTTAATTAAATTTTGCTGAAATTAAGTGTTGTAGACTCATAACAATTTAAAAATCCGTTATTGACTAAAGACTATCAAAACAAAAAGATAATTCAGCTAATACACCTTAAGAATTGTTATTCATTTAAACTGGATAAAAGTATTAATCAAAGCTCTATTTTAGCATGAAACATAATGATGCTTTACTTAACAACATAAAATTATAAAAACTGGTGATATCATTAGCAACACAGATGAAATACACATAAACAAAAATGAAGACTGGAAAGCTGCAATGATGTTTAGATATAAGAAAGTGTACCTTTCCAGTATCATTTTCACTTGATCTTTTGTATCCAAAGCGAAAGTTTTGCAAAGAGTTCTAAAGATAAACCTGTTGTCATTATGTGCATTTTTTTTACTTGCTTTGTTAATGACAGACAACAGTTAACAAGGAAATAACAACTTAAACATAAAAGTTAAAGAGCCAATTTTTTGCATAAATAGTTTCACCATTCAACTAAATAAAAACAACAAAACTATTCAGATCAGATCATTCAGATCAAAAAAAAAATTGCAAGCTTACTGAATGCTTCTTCTTTTCTATCGTTCGTTTCACTGGCACTTGAACAAGTAAATACAGATAGAAATTGTTTACAGGTTTTATTTTTTGTCTGAAAATAAATATTTTAATTTAATATCTTATAAACAACGTTCTTCAAGCACAACACATTAAAAAATCAGTCCAAAAATAAACGGGAAATCTTTATAAAACACTTACCCGCGACTAACTTAATTGAGACTAGATCATATCAATATATATATATATGTGTGTGTGTATATATATATATATATATATATATATATATATATATATATATATATATATATATATATATATATATATATATATATATATATATATATATATATATATATATATATATATATATATATATATATACTATTTTCGGCTAGCGAGTTTATTTTATAATTTATGTAATAAAGTAATATATTATGTAAAATATACATAATATATATGCTTATGTATATTATAGTATATATATATATATATATATATATATATATATATATATATATATATATATATATATATATATATATACTATAATATACATAAGCATATATATTATGTATATTTTACATAATATATTACTTTATTACATAAATTATAAAATAAACTCGCTAGCCGAAAATAGTTGATTTTTAATTAAATTTCCTATCCAAAAACGTTTCACATAAAAGTTTTATAAAAGTATTATGTAAACAAAAAACGGGCCAATCAGATTGTAACAAAGATATCGTAATTACGATACTGTGGGTTAAAACCCAACTTTGTTACGTTCTTTTGGCAATAATAACTTTTAATTTTCTTAAGCAAATAATGATTTCCTTATTAACAACTAAAGTTGTTAATAACCAAATAATAATTTGTTTTTCATAATTATAATAAGCAACTTATGATTTGCTTTATTAACAACTTAAATTGTTTTCCAGTGAAAAACGTTAGTGAATTTCCCCTCCCCCTCCCTAAAGAAAAAAAATCTACTGGGTGTTGTTTAATTTAACATTTAGATGAAAACTTTCTCTTTTTTTTTTTTAAAGTCATCGATAAAACACGTCTTTTCTACGTCTTATTAAAGACGTACAACCGATTGACGTCTTTTCGACCTCTTTTTTGAAGACGTCTTTTCCACGTCTTTATTTAGGCTGATTATGAAAAGACAAAAAAAGTCATAAAAAAGACGTATTTTATTCGTCTAAAAATATCTTTTTTCCTATTTGGATTTTTAGTAAAATGACTTTGGTGGGGCACATCGAGACAACAAGTTATTTATATAATTGAGTATATTACTACCACATCGTGATGTTGTTTACCGTTTGATGATTTTATTTTTAATCTAAAATGTTATTATATTTTTTTGAGGAAATTAATTTAAGTAATAATTTCAAAGAAAATTATATTTTTATAACTTAACTTTGAATATTATTACTGTTTAATGTAAACAAATAGGGCGAGAAACTATATAAGCAAAATAAATCATCCAAAACGGGTTAAAATGCAGTTTTAGCTGTGATTAAAAAGGAACTTAGATTCTAAGTTAGAATTAGAAAAGCTGCTGATACATATAGATGTTTAACTTTGCTCTACATTAGCATATTGCTAATAAGTCAGCTCATCAAAAATGTTGCCGAATTGTTTCAGGATATTTTATGTATGATTTATGTGATAATAAAAATTTTTAGTTTAATTTAAAATTTAGTAGTAGTTTCCAATTTAATAATATAAGTATTTTATAATAAAACACACAAGAAAAGTTTGTTTTAGTTGTTTTAGTTTAATGTCTGAACACATTTAGGTGATAGATAGCCTTCATTTTTCATCATTTTTAAAACTTTACAATTGACAAATAACAGCTGCTTTTTAACTGTCCCGTTTTGACCTACCTACTTGCAAAATGTAAAAGTTTTGCTAGTCTAGAGTTTCGTTACTTTGTCGTCTCTTATTGTTAGTGATTTTTTTTTTTTTTTTTCATTTTCTTATATCAATAAATTCTAGGAAATTTATAAAAAATGATTAATTTATCCGCAACTAGCATTTGTTTCTTAAGGTGGTAGAGCACAATTAAAATACAAAATTTTGATCAAAATATGAAAAAATTTTATTTTAGTTTATTTTATTCAAAATTTTATCCTCTTTCTTTTGATGTATGTATGGAACAGAAATTGTTTTTTGAAATGTGATAAAAATCTACATTTGCAATATTTTTTACCTTAGCAACGCCTTAGCAACCACAAACATATCTTCTTTTATTATATATGTTGAACAAAATTGCAAGCTAATTTGTCTTTTTGTTATGTCTATCATGCTTAAAATTGTTTGTTTATCAACTTTGCTTTTAAACAAATTCGAATGTTGAGAGTTTTGCTGTAGCACAAGTTTAAGATTCATGTTGTTATTGTTGTATTAGGCCCTATTGTTGTTAGTATTGTTTTAGAGATTTATTATCAACTATTAATAAATTATAAAGTCTATCGTAAATAATAAATAGGAAAGAAAATGAAATCTAAAAAAACAAATAAACAAAATGTTAGCAGAAGAAAAAAGAGAGCATGGAATGGCATAGTTCCAAAGAATGTTGAAGTTTTTGATAATTCTTGTATCAAATCTATATGTTCAAGTGAAAGGAAACTTTCTTCAAAAACAAAAACTAAATTTTCTACTAATTCTTCTCCACAAACAGAAGAATATTTTATTATTGTGCATTTTTACCTACTCAAAAGCATTTTGCAAACTCTTGTATGTCCAGAATGTTTTTGTAACATTGTTGTAAAAGATGATATTTTAAAACGACAAGGATTCTCTCATGTTCTAACAATAAACTGTAATAATTGTTTATGGAATAAAAGAATTAATACTTCCCCAGAGATAAAGAAGAAAGAGGAAACTAAAGGTCGAAATACATACGAGGTAAATGTACGTTCTGTAATAGCTTTCTGTGAAATTGGCTGTGGTTTTTCATCAATAAGTACGTTTGCATCTTTGATGAACTTTAAATGTTTGTCAAAAAATGGATTTTGTCGTATCAACAAAAAAGTTATGAAAGCTTATAAGAATGCTGTCACAGATAGCATGCAAACAGCAGCAAAGGAAGCTCCTCAAATTGAAACTGTCAAAGGTATTCCATGTGTTCGGATATCAATTGATGGATCATGGCAAAAGCGTGGTCATTCATCTTTGCATGGGGTGATCACTGCTATAGCAGCAGACAAATGTGTTGATATAGAAATAAAATCAAGACATTGCTATGGTTGCAGAATGTGGATAGGAAAAGAAAATACAGCTGAATATAATCATTGGAAAGTTAACCATTACTGCCAAATTAACCATAATGGGTCATCAGGTGCAATGGAATCAGCTGGAGCAGTTGACATATTTAAGCGTTCTGTTTTAAAGAACACTCTTATTTATAAGGAATACTTAGGAGATGGGGATACAAGTTCTTTTATGGATGTAGTAAAAGCCAACCCATATAGTGAATATGATATAATGCCAATAAAGTTGGAGTGCATTGCTCATGTCCAAAAACGATTAGGTACTCGATTGCGTAACATTGTCAAGTCTCATAAAGGCACTAAAACACCTCTCTCAGGAATAGGGAAGCTTACTGAAAGTTGCATTAACTCAATGCAAAATTACTTTGGTTGCGCCATTAGAAATAACCTTGATAATCTGTATGCAATGAAGAAAGCTGTTTATGCAATAGTTTTTCATTTTACAGATATTCCAAATCCTGAACGACATCAATTTTGTCCACGAAATGATTCATCTTGGTGCAAATATTGGACTCTAAGTAAAAGTTACAAACCAAATATATCTATTCCTCTATTCATCAAAAATCTCATTACACCCATTTTTATAGACTTACAGAAAGATGACTTGCAGTTGAAATGTTTGCATGGTCAAACACAAAATTCAAATGAAGCGCTCAACTCACTCATATGGTCCAAGGTACCCAAAACCACATTTGTTAGTAAAGATGTTGTGGAAATGGGTGTAAACTCTGCCATTTTATAATAATATTTTAATATAAGATAATGTAAGAGTAAAACAGATGAAACGTAAGACTACTATTATGGCAAAAAAACAGAGAAAAAAACTGAGAGCAATAAAAAAAGGATTCAGTAAGAATCTTAAAGCAAAGGAACCTCAAGACTCATATGTTTCAGGAGGATTTTAACATGATTTTACTGTTTAAATGTGATTTTTTCTTTATTTTGTACTTATTTTTGTTTTTTCTGCAAGTTGAGTTTTTCATATTTTATCGAAATTTCAAAACATGATTTTTTCTAATTGAATAAAGCTTTTGTTCTGAAATTTTCAGGACATATTCCCAACACCATTAGAATTCATTTGACAGATAGATTTTTTTTAATTATTTTTAAAACTCATTTTTTTTAGTTTTAACTTCTTTAAACTGCTTGTAAATTGTACAAAATTTAACTTATCTTAAAAAAAAGGTCATATTTTTACATATAAAAGGAATAATTAAAAATCTATCTGTTAAATGGAGTAAAATAAGGTCATCAACAGATCTGCAAAGTTTGATTCATGGTTTTTAAGTCTAACTCAAGATAACGTGTTTTGAAAACATAAGAATTTTGTCTTAATTTACACTGTTTTTGCGCCATTATGAATTTTTGGTTAACTTTTTCAAAATTTTTTTTTTGCAAAAACATTTTATTTTTCTTAGTAAAGCATTTCTGCATATTTTTAAAACTTTTTTTAAAATCTTTCATAAAAAGTGTCTTTTTTGTGCTCTACCACTCTACCACTAATTTTTTTTCCCTATATGCCCCGCTCTACTCTATCCTAGAGTAGACCGAAGACGTTTTTTATATTTATATTACTCGCGTTATTCCTTAATGAACATTTATAATGAAAGTATCCTAAATAAAATAGTTTCAAAATCCAAAGTAGAATCCTACAGTAAATAGTATATTTGCGGGTATCATTGCATACGCAGATGGTGTTCTCTTACTAAGTCCGACAATTTCTGAACTTCAAGAACTGATTGACTAATTTCAAACTTATGGAATGGCTAATTTTATCACATTAAACTCTGAAAAAAAGAAGATCTTCTAACTTCTAGAACAAGTCCTATTTCAA